ATTAACCGAATTAACTGAATTAACATTTAAATATAATTATATTAAGAGGCCCAATCCATTTAAAATCCATTTAAAACCCAAATCAATATTAATTAATTAAAATAATATCAAAACTAAATGCAAAATGTTTGAATCAAAGTAATTAGATATTATTTATAATTAGATATTATTAAAATTAATTGTAAATTGTTTTTTTTAATTAAAAAAATATTAAATTCTAAAATTCTAAAAAATTTCGGTTAATTTGAAAATTAACCAAATTAACCGAAATTTATTCGGTTCGGTTAATATTTTCGAAAAAAAGTTCGGTTCGAATAACGGTTAAAGAAAAAAAAGTTCGGTTAATTCGAAAATGGTAGTTCGGTAGGTTCGGCCACCGAATTAACCGAATGAACACCCCTACTTGTGGCGTCAATCTATTCACCTATATTCTTATAATTCATAGATTCAATATCTAATGGGCTTAAGACACTTCTACCATCTCTCAAGTAAATTTATAAAGAACAGGGCTTTGCTACTTAGCAATGTTTCTTCTTCGGCAAGTTTGAGATATTTTTCATCACCATAGTCGTACATCCTCATCAACTTCATCTACCATCTTCATCAACACTATTGAAGACTATCCTTATTATCATATTTCTTCCGCTATCAACTCTTTCATTACTTCATTTCTATTTCATTTACGTAAGTTTTATATCATTTCAATTTCTAATATTTCCTTTAATTTTCCTTTGTTACAGACATGCTTAAGATTCAAGGGCATCATTTGTTGTCTATTCTAGATCGGGAGAACAATAAGGCTATTTATTCCCTTCTTTCTGAAGTGTGTAGATTCGCTAGATTCGCCTTACATCATCGGTGGTGAGAGAGGTCTCGGTAAAGTCTTGAATAGTTACGCACAACAAACTAAGAAAGAAAAGTGGAGGGTCAGCGTTGAATGTTCAACGGCGATTCATCTTTGTGCAGAATCGATGAGAATGACGAAAAAAATGGATGGTCGACAGTAAGGATAGAGTGAGATGGGAGTAGCGGAGTAGTGAAAGAAAACAAAAGTTGAAAAGAAGTTAGGGCACTGTTTGTGAAAAAGGGCAGAGAAAGAATTGAAATCTAATTAAAATTTGTTTAATTACATAGTTAGTCATCAAACTCTCTAGGGTTTAAGAAATAAGATAAAACTTTTAAAATATTTATAGTTGGTCACCAAAATCAAATTAGGTATTTGAAGAATAAATCCCCAAATTATAGGGTTTAAATTTGGGGGAAATTTGGGATGTTACACGAGATCCATTGATTCTATGCCAAAAACAAAATCACTTAGTTACACTTCCTCAAAAGATGACTCCAAATTTATTTCTTAGCCTCCTTAGGCGCAAAGGAGGTTTTCTTTCGATACTAATTACAAGTGCAGTACTAGTCTTCCAGCGACCAGGTAAGGTGGGGCATTTTACGTACACGATACTTATAGACCGTTTATAATGTAGTTCTATTCAGAATGTTTGATAATGATATTCAATTTTCACAATTGGAATCGTGGAGTAGATAAGTTTAATTTAGGCTAGTTGTTTGGAAATTGAGCTCTAAAGATGAAATTTCCTGACTTTCAATGACATTCAAACTATAACATATTCTTCTTATGAGCTTAAGAGATCTTGAAATCAAAACTCATGGAAGTAATGTAGTATTAATGCAAACTAATATTGTTGGGGGACTCTGCTGAAAGTAGTAAGTTGTTGATCTTTGAAGGTAATGTATGAAGCAGCTATGAAGGTAATGTCAGAGCTTTATGAAGTGAGTATCGTTCAAGTTGTAAAGTTAAAGACTTTCTGACACTTGAATCCTCTCACAAAGAGTATTCCACTAAAGTTATGGGCCCTAGTCCTAACTTTATGAATAGGTTTACATTCAGATCATGACATTAGTCTCTATGCATCAAGATGAATTTCCCAGTAAAATCAAAGGCAATGACTCAAAGTTAATGAAGCATAATTTAAAGAAATACGGTAAGGCCTAGAAGTAAATGCAAATTGAGAATGCGTTTTGATGAAATGTAGACTAAGGGAGTTAAGAAACATTGTTATAGTCGATTACACACAAGTACTCGTGAATTCTGTTTTTAGATCAATATTTTTGCACTGCCTTTGCTAAAGGAGTGTACAAAATCTGAACAAATGGGAGATTTCAGAGAACTAAAATATGAATGCTCTCTAAAATGCCTAGCACTACAGTATCGAATGTACCCACAGGGGCATTTCAAGCAATCACTGACGATTTGCAAGGTCTCACTAGAGGTCAAGGGGCATATCAAAGGTATATGATCACCAAACCAATTAACCCTCTAAAAACCAATCTAAACCCTTCGTAAATTAACTTTTACCAGTAGTCTTGACACTTGTCAAAGAACTATGACATTGAAAAATTAAAAGAGCATTTGATCATTTTGATATATAATGAACTCATGTTTTATAATTTGCTTCAATTGTGAGCTTAAGACAATGGGCATAATTTTGTTTCTTCAGAAAAAAAACTTTTTCAAGTTTTAAAAAAATGGGAAAACATTTTCGAACAAGATAATTTCTCTAGGGAATGCATCTTGAAAATTGAGAAATATCTCCTAGACATGGAAGCTCAGGATCGATATCGGGGTAAAAAGAAGAAACATTATGGCAAGAGTTTGTTGGGGCATGGAGAAAAAATTTTGCAAGCCAAGCAGTGACAGACTTGACCGAGATGATGAGGAAGATTGGAGATTTTGAGAATGAAGACTTCTCGCACCCCTCCCTATGAATGTGCTTAGCGTTAGTGTCCCAGTCCTTCCTTAGTAATTCTACTACATAGTGCCATATAGTTATGTCAAGTTCCTTGTGATATGGATCCTGCAAATTACTCCAAACTTCCTTACTGTCAATCTCAAAGATGAATTTTCTTGTTTCTAATTCCCAAGCAATTTTCAGTCCTTGGCAAAGTATGTTGGATTTGTTAGGTTCTTAATGAGCCAATCTTTAGTTTCTAACGTGAAAAATTCTATTAAAGTTTTAAGGAGACATATTTTATGACATCCAAATTGGATTGTTAGGAATTTTATTAAATATGAATGTCCTTTAACCTTTTATCTTCATAAACCCTTGATCTTTTTTCTTTTTTCTTTTTTCTTTTTGCCTTCTGCCCTCTCGATTTCAAGTTTTTCCCTGATTAATACGAACCGACTCACATCGCACACCTGATTTTGTGGGTGAGTCTTCTAGGGGGATTTTCTGCAAACTCAAAGACTCGAACTTGAGACCCCTTAAGCGATATCAAGCTGATTGTCACTTGAACCAACACCTGTAGGTAATACCTTGATCTTTTACCCTCCCTATAATAAATGCCTCTTTATTTCTATGATTTTGTCCTCTATAATAAGTGGCAGATCTAGAAATATTTTTGGGTAAAGTATATAAATGGTTTCCCGATTATAGGTTGTTTTTTGTTGAGTCCCCCAACTATTAAAAGTTACAAAATGGTCCTCTGATTATAGGGTGTTGCTTTGTTGAGTCTCTCAACTATTAAAAGTTACAAAATATTCACCTGACTATTCATATGTTTCAAACTCATCATTTTTTGTTAAAAAGTTTGACATTTGTCTGAGCCAAACATTAATCTATTTACTGAGATATAAGAAAATATGATCTCAAAATCTCAAACGACTTCATATCTCAGTCAGCAAGTTAACGTACAGCTTAGACGACTGTCAATTTTTTGACGAAAAAGATGAATTTGAAATATATGAATAGTTAAGTGATCATTTTGTAACTTTTATTACTCGATAGACTCAACAAAGCAAGCCTTATAATCGATGGATCGTTTTGTAAATTTTAATAATCAAGGGACTTAACAAAGTAATGTCTTATAGTCATGAGACCAATTGTGTACTTTACCCAATATTTGTTAGGTTGTACACATATATACAGGGGCGTGGCTGGGGTGGCGCAAACTGCGCGATTGCGCAGGGCCCCCAAAAAGTATATATATATAGTGGCGTTTTTCCAATAAACGCCACTATAGATGGACCTATTGCGATGGTTTTTCAAAAAAATGCCACTATTATTGTGCAGGCCCAAAAAATGCCCAAAAAACTATAAATATAGTGGTGTTTTTCCAATAAACACCACTATAGATGGACCTATTGCGACGTTTTTTCAATAAAACGCCACTATTGTTGCCCCGAAATCGAATATATCTAAAAAATAGGGGCCCTTTATAAAAATTTGTACAGAGCCCCCGAAAACCTAGCCACGGCCCTGCATATATATTAACAATATAACATTTATGTTTGTGAAGAGGACACTAAAAAAATTTCAAAATAAACACAATCAATAAAATATATAACTAACTAAAATAAATTTAAAATTTAATGCCAACACTTTTCACCCTCAATACAATACAATACAATAAACATCCGCCACTGCCAATAGATAGTGACTTCAAAAAACTTATAATACATAAACAATTAAAAAAATATATCTTCTCTTATATTTTATTATTTGTCTTTCTTTAATTTATCTCTTTATTCTTATTATAAATTCTATAACTTTATAACACTGTAAAATTAGTTTACCTTAATTTTTTCAGTCGTAATATTGTCTTTTTTGTTATGCTAAAATAAACAAAAACCAAAATTTTAGAATTTATATGTGAAAGAAAATTCAAAAAATAGTAATATATAATATGGAAAAATGAAGGGACTTTTTTATTTGAATTCACTGTACGAGCCAAGTGTTTCTTAAAAAGAGAAAAGAAAACAATAAAAAACGATAAATTATTCGATGGTCCCGGCTCACCGCGTCATTCGTGTTCCCAACTAATAACATTTATTCACGCATCATTTTTTTACAAGGTGAATTTTTACTTCTTTCTTACATGTAAATAAAATGTGGGTGGTTATATAAAAATTATTTTGAAACTTGTGGTTATATATAAAAGCCGGATCATGAAATAATTTCTCATAAAAAAAACATATTGCTTCAACGACTCATTCTTCATCGTTCTTTCATTGTCTTTTGTGACCAAAAGAAATGTCTCATCTGATCTTTCCCTTTGATTTCTTTCTCCATGCAATTCTTCCCCTCCTATAAATACTTCCAAACAAGCTTTATAGATGATAGAGAAACAAAAATGAAAGCAACTGGATCTGTAGGAGTAGGGTTGGTGGCAGTGTTCGCAGTTTCAGGAAGTGTAGTTTTTATCGCTCGTCAACTCCATAAACATCTCCTCTCAGATTTCCTGAAGAAGATTGAATTCGAATTGTGTGGTAAATATATATGTCAAATAATTTATATTTGTGATAAATTATGGGTTTACTTTCTTTCTTTTGTGTGTATATTATGTAGGAAGTAGTAGTAAATTTCAAGCAAAGAAAAGGGTTCGGTTTGCAGATGATACGATGGAGGATTCATCATGGAGAAACAAAGAATACAGCAAGGTGAAGCATGGCGCCAACCTGGAAAAGCTGCAGGGTAAAGCCCTGGGAATGTCAAATTCCATGCCTCTCAACAGGCAGGTTTTGTACAAAGGAATTCTTCAATATAAAGCCCTTAAAACCCGCCATATTTAAAACTTCCTATTATATATTAATGTCTTCTTTTCTTTTATTTACGAGTTCAGGTTTTGATTTTAACAGTAGGGGCAAGTTCTTTGTCCTTTGTACATATGTAAACATTCTGAAAGTTAATCTTTCCTTAATTTGGAGACTTTTGTACTTAAAAGAAGTGGTGAAAGAGAGAAGGATTCATATTTCAACAGTTTATAGGATCTACTATAATGTCGTCACTTTAATCTATTGAGAAAAAAAAAGAAACTTTCATTTTTTTTGACAAATCCTAATTCTAATCCTACTTAGGGATACTCTTAATAGGTCTAAAACTCGTGACCTAAGAGAATATAAAAAACAAAGATGAATAGCTTGATAACGTGTCAAATACGCTTGCTCAGAAAATTTAAATTGTATATTGAATAAAATTTATGTTCTTAACATAAAGATTGTTCCTGTGTTTGAATATTAACTTATGTTTGAGATTTTTTTTTTTGAATAGTTTGAGATAATTATAAGAAATATTTATTCTTAACTATGGACAAACAAACACGAGTGCTTGAACTCAAAGACAACAAGAGTCCTAGGTCATTTAATTGTTTCTTTGACTAAAACTGCTTATTCATGTACGCATTAAATGAATAATGTAAAATGGTGTGAATTCTCCCCTTGTTTTTTCCACGAGTAAACGTTTGCTGCTTTAAGTCTTCTTGACGTGAGGAAGAATTAACAACTATTTTCTTAATATTTCGTCCAGAAAAAGAAAACTAATTGGACCACATAATACGATACACAGTACTACTAATTATTAATTTCTCATTTCTTGGCCGGCATGGAATCTGCGTTTTATTTTGTTTTACTCCAATACAGAACATCGAAACCAACGACTAGCGACTAATAGAAGCTTCCTTATGCAGCACGGCAGCAACTATGATTAGCGCCTCGATAAAAAGAACACTCTGCTCCTACAGTTTGTTGGAAATGCTTAAGAAATCAAAAAGCAACTATGATTAGCAACTACGTTTTTGGTTGTTATATTAAGATTTTAATCAACTGCAATCCAGACGTTATTTGAGTTGTTTATTAGCTTTTATAAAAGTTGATATATTATTAAGCTATGGAATAGTTTGGTTTTTTTGCCGGCCTCAAACCATGTCGGGTTTATTCATGACAAGGGACAGAGTCGACAAAATGGAATGGGTTCATAACAAAGGGGGATTATTCTTAGTTAAAAATTGTCTAATCTACTAGTTGATGCGGACGTGGAAGCACCGGAATTTGAGTTCAACAAAATTTGAAAGTTGTTTGTCCCCCCCCCCCGAAGGTAAAAAGTTGTCTTGAAGCTAAAGATTTATAGATTACCTGCCAAGTATTTCTCAAAAATCGGGGCATGGATGTGGAGGACATGGAGTGCTTATGTTGTAGGTGTGGTGTGGGTCTCCAGGAGGTGGATCATCCTTTGGTAAGCTGCCCTTATATAGCTCATTTCTGGGATTCTTTCACCCTGGTGGTGGAGAATTCCATGGAGTGAGCCTTGTACTATAGACCGGTTTTACGAGTGGTGTTTTCCTACTGAAATTCCTTCGAAACTGAAAAGTATTTGGCTTGTGTCAATCTCGGCTGCCCTTTGGAGTATTTGGTTGAGTCGAAATGATCGTGTGTTTAATGGAAAGGGAAATTCTCTTAAGGATCTGATCTTCTTAGCTTAGCTGCGTGCGTTGACTTGGTTAAAGGCGTTTAAAGCTAAATTAGTAATTAACGAATCTGTTTAACTGGTGGATTAATCCGATGGACATTCCTTGGTGGAATGTTATTCCTTGGAGTGCAACACTATAGGTTCAAAATTAATGGCGATTAAAGTGGCTTTGGATGAGTTTTTAGAGGCTGCGTTTATGGATGTGAGGTCTTTGGTGGTGGAATCTACCTCCCTTATTGCCTTGAATTGGGTTTCTCGCCCTCTGAATCGTCCGATGAATTTTTTAGATATATTGGCTGAAATCGATGAGAAGGTTAATTTGATTGAGTCTGTTCTTTTCAAGTGTGCTTCGGATGGTTCTTTGATGACAGTTGTTTGGCAGGTCAAGGGCTGGCTAAGCCTGATTTTTTCAAGGCCTGGTGCTAGCTTTCTACTAGTGATTTTTAACTCAAGTTAAGGTCGTGATGTGTTGATGTCCATTTTGGTTATGTTGTTGATTGGCGTTCAGTGCGGTCGTTGTGTTGTCGCTATGCTGGGTTCAGTTGTTTGTCAAAAAGTTGATGGAGCTATTGGGTTTGTTTTTGTTTGTTGCTTGGGGTGCGTCCTGCTTAGTTTGCTTATCCTTGTGTTCGTCCAGGTGATTTAGGTCTGAATGTCGTTTTTTGCTAGTGGCTCTTGCCTATAAGTACCAAGGTTTTTCGAACTTTTAAAATTCATGAGGAAATCATTTTTCTTCTTTTTCTCTCTCACTTTTCAAAAGCTTTATTCTTTTCAAGTCCCGGTAGAAAGACTAGCAACATCACCGTTGTCCAGTCCACATTTCGAATATATAAAAATTTAAATATATTATATTAACTTCGGGAGGACATCATCTAGTGCAGCAATTACACGAGTCGAAAAGAAAATTACATATAAAGTAGTGGTTCTACATAACACACAAATTCTTTTTCTATAATTTCTTATTTTAATTGTCCTATCAGTACTAACGTCTCATCTTACCATCTGCAACGCAGTTCAGTTATCACCACCGGACAGACAGCTAAGCTCTTTGTCATTCCAAAGATCCAATCCCAAAGTTATTTTGAAGAAACTTCTAATTGCATGGTCCTTGCTTATCGCATCAACGTTGTGTTGAAAATTAGCAAATCCACCGAAAGGTGGAATTAAAAAAATCCAATGAAATTTTGATGTCAAAAAGGGTTGGCTTATGTTGAAAATTTGCAATGGTATAATTGTATATTTTAGTCATTATAATTTAGGGTATTTACAAATTAGTCCTTGAACTTCAACTATAAATACCATAGCTCATTTAATTTCAAAATCATCCCAAAGCATTCTAGCTTTCTTCCAATACTAGAGAATTTAGATAATTTCTTGAGAGTTGTTTTCTCCTTTTTATCAAGAGAGAATTATCATTGTTTTCTCCTTGGTAGATAGAGAGAAGTTGTAATTCATATTTTCTCATAGTGAAATTCTTCTATCGTTTCCCGTGGTTTTTACCCTATATTATTTAGGGGTTTTCTACGTAAATTTTGTGTCTTCTTTATCTTTATTTTTTATTTTATCAAATTATCAGTTGCGATTTTGTTATATCCGATAGTCGTCTTCCGCAACAATTGGTATCCGAGCCAGATTAGAGTGTGTAATATCTACTTATTGTCTTTGTGGTTACCACCAAAAGGTGGATCCTCCAACATAAGAAAGTAAGAAGGTATTACTCATTCTTTGAAGGTTCCAGAGAACTATTCACGATAGTGAAATAGTCAGGAGCTATCCGAAATAGAAGCTATAGAAACAAAATCTGATATTGAAAAATTCAATGGGAGAAATTTCTCATTGTGAAAATTGAAGATGAAGGCTATCCTGAGGAAAGATGGATGTCTAGCAGCTATCAGTGAAAGGCTGGTAGATTTCATAGATGACAACAAATTGATCGAAATGGACGAGAATGCTATGACAAACTTTTATCTAGCGTTAGCAGATGAAATATTGTCAAGCATCGAGGAGAAGAAGACAGCTAAGGGGATATGAGATTATCTCACCAAATTGTACGAGGCCACATCGTTGCACAATAAAATTTTCCTTAAGAAGAAATTGTACACTATCCAGATGCCAGAATCTACTTCAGTGACGGAGCACTTAAACACGCTGAACATTTTATTTTCTCAGCTTACATCCCTAAGATGTACAATAGGAGAACAAGAACGTGTTGAACTTCTACTTTAAAGTCTACCTGATTCGTATAATCAACTCATCATCAACTTGACAAACAGTAATGTCACCAGTCTAGTCTTCGATGATGTTGCAGCTGCTGTTCTACAAGAAGAAAATTGGCGCAAGAACAAGGAAGATAGACAAGTAAATTTGCAACAAGCAGAAACGTTGACAACGATGAGAGGGAGATCAACGGAACGTGCCCAAAGCAGCAGTCACAAATATGGTAGATCAAAGTCGAGAAGCAAGAAGAATTTAAAGTGCTACAACTATGGAAAGAATGGTCACTTGAAGAAGGATTGTTGGAGTCTAAATAAAAAATCCAATCCACAAGGCAATACCACAAACACTTCAGATGATGGAGATGCTCTATGCTGTGAAGCGTCAACCACCGTGGAAGGCAGAAAAATATTTGCAGATATATGGCTCATTGATTCGGGAGCAACATATCACATGATTTCAAGAAGAGAATGGTTCCATCATTATGAACCTGTCTCAGGAGGATCTGTGTATAGTTGCAATGATCATGCCTTAGAGATCGTTGGTGTGGGAACCATCAAATTGAAGATGTATGATTGAACAATCAAAGTTGTTCGAGATGTGCGACACGTGAAAGGCCTGAAGAAAAATTTATTATCCTACGGATTGTTGGATAATAATGCAAGCAAGCTTGAAACACAGAAAGAAATCATGAAGGTGTTCCATGGAGCGTTTGTGGTGCTGAAAGGCAAAAAGATGGCTGCAAACTTTTACATGCTGAAGGGAGAGACTTTGCTAGAAGCAGAAGCTTCTGTTGCCTCATGTAGTTCAGATTCTGCAATGCTATGGCATCAGAAACTTGGACACATGTCAGAACAAGGAATGAAAGTCCTTGTGGAGCAAAAGCTACTTCCAGGCTTAACAAAGGTATCACTTACTTTGTGTGAGCATTGCTTAACAAGTAAGCAGCACCGGTTGAAATTCAACACGTCAAATTCTAGAGGAAAAAGTGTTCAAGAATTGGTTCATTCTAACGTATGGCAAGCACCAATTACATCCCTAGGCGGAGTAAAATACTTTGTCTCATTTATTGATGACTACTCAGGAGATGTTGTGTATACCCTATTAAGAAGAAGTCAGATGTGTTTTCCACTTTCAAAAACTTCAAAGCGCGGGTGGAACTTGATTCTGGAAATAATATCAAGTGTTTCAGAACAGAGATAATGGAGGAGAATACA